CAGCCCCTAACTTTCTTGAAACATTCTCCTGTGGCTTACATGACTTTATCTTAATTCATGCCCATTTCTAATTGTTCCTTTTCATTCTTTTGCTGGCTTCTTTTTTTCTTGCCTATGGATATTCTCCCCAAATACAATAGGAGCTGTCAAAGAAGCTTTTGAGTTAGGTGACTGGGAAAATAATGGTGCTCTATAGGGCAACAGAGAAGTCAGGATGTAGGGTTGGTAGGGTTGATTTTTGAAATAAGGTGGTTTTTATTTTTGACAGGTAAAGTTTGACACATCAGTGAGGCATCCAGATGAAAATGACAGCAGCATCCGTCATCGGATATATGACTAAAGATACTTTCAGACAACTCCTGCCCCCAGTGAACATATCACACCTAGCTGTTGAGTCTTCTCACCTAAGGCCCCAGACATTACAGGTTAGAGATAGGCTATCCTTGCTGTGCCCTTTCTCAATTCCTGACGGACAGAATCCATGAATGTAATAAAATGGTTGTTTTAAGCCACTAAGTTTTGGGGTAGTATGTTATGCAGCAGGAATAACTGGAACACCCTTATAATATATATAATCTTGTTGTTTGTGAATAATAACAATGTTTTTCTTCCTATCCAATTCACACACATTTCTTTCTTTTCTGTGTCTTATTGTATTGGCTGGGACCTCAAGTACAATGTAGAAGTGTTGATAGCAGACTTCTTTGTCTTGATCTCAAACTCAGAGGGGCTTTCAGTATTTCACCCTTAGTAAAATGTTTACTGTATGTTTTTTTTTAATAGATACTTATATTTCATAAAAGAAGATTCCTCTATTTCTCCTTTTTTAAGAATTTTTTCATGACACTGTATTGGATTTTATCAAATGTATTTTGTGTATTGGTTGAAGTGATTATATGGTTTTTTTTGTTTATTCTGTCAGTGTGGTAAATTGCTTACATTTTGAATGTTTAAACAACCTTCCATTTCTGATATATACACAATTTGGTTGTTGTGTATAACCCTGTTATATATCACTGGATTTTTCTGCTAATATTTTGAATAGAGTTTTTGTATCTATGTTCATGAGAGAAGTTGGCCCATAGTTTTCCTTTCTTTTAATGTCCTTGTCAGTTATTGATATCAAGGCTTGCTGGCCTCATGAAATGAGTTGGTAAGTGGTCCCTCTTTTTCTATTCTCTGGACAACTCTGTAAGATTGGTATTATTTCTTCCTTAAGTGTTGACACTCATCTGGACCAGGAATTATGGATTTAGTGACCATAGTAGATAGAGGACTGTCAAGTTTTTTCTAGCTTCTTTGTGTTTATTTGTCTTGGAATTTGCCTGCATCAAATGTATTGGCATAAAGTTCTTCATAGTATTCTTTTATTATCTTTTTAATGTCCATAGAAGCTGGGGTGATATCCTCTTTTCATTTCTGATATTGGTTATTTGTGCCCTTTTTCTTGATGAGTCTTCTCAAGGGTGTATTTATTTATAGGCTTTTCAAAGAACAAACTTTTGGCTTTGTTAATACTCTGAAATGTAAACTTTTTTCCTATCCCATTAATTTCTATTCTTTATTATTTTCTTTTTTCTATTTTCTTTATTTGGATTCATTTAGTTTTTCTAAGATAGGTAGTTTTTCTTTAAGATATGTAGTTAGATCCTTGATTTCCAGACTTTTTTTCTAATATTTTGGAAAATATTTTAGAAAGCATTTTTAGACTAAATTTTCCTGCAGTCCTGCCTTTGTCTGCATCCCATACATTTTGATACATCATATTTTCATTATTTAGTTCATTATTATTTCTAAATTGCATTGTGATTTCTTCTTTCACTCATCAGTTATTTAGAAGTGCATTGCTTAATTTCCAAAAATTTGGGGATTTTCTTATTGTTTTTGTTATTTATTTTTAGCTTGATTCCACTGTGGTTATAGAACATACTCTATATTATTTCAGTTCTTTGAAATTTGTTGAGAGTTGCTTTCTGGCCCAGTATATGGTCACTTTTGGTAAATGTTTCATGTGCAGTTGAAGAGGATGTGCATTTTGCAGTTATTTGCAAAAGAGTTCTATGTACAGGTTTCCCCCACTATCCGAAAGTTTGCTTTACGCCACTTCGCTTTAGTGCCTGTTTAGTACCTACATTAATACATATTTTTACTAACTGAAAGCAGTCCAAAGAAGATTTTCACTTTTACCAAAAAAAAAGGGCAGAAAGCAAAAATAGCTTTCAGCATTTGTTTTGCAGCCAGCCGTTATTAGGAGGCAGCAGTCATCCCAAGCAGAGAAAGTGACACTGCCAAGCTCCTTCTCTGGGAGCTACACTCAGCATCTCAGCATCAATCCGCCATAGCTTTTGAACCATGTCTGTGAGCATCTATGCTTCATCTCCAGTTATTTTTCTTTGGTTTTGTGAGGAAGATCAGCCCTGAGCTAACAACCATGCCAATCCTCCTCTTTTTGCTGAGGAAGACCAGCCCTGAGCTAACATCTATTGCCAATCCTCCTCCTTTTTTTTTCCCCCTTTTCTCCCCAAAGCCCCAGCAGATAGTTGTATGTCATAGTTGCACATCCTTCTAGTTGCCCTATGTGGGATGCCGCCTCAGCATGGCCCGACAAGTGGTGTGTTGGTGCGCGCCTGGGATCCGAACCCTGGGCTGCCAGTAGCGGAGGGCGCGCACATAACCGCAAAGCCACAGGGCTGGCCCCATCTCCAGTTATTTTGGTTGGTTATCTTTTGGCTTTGGGAATGCTTAAAAATTTTTCCCATATAAATTAATGATAATTGCTTGTGCTTATGCCATTTCAGCTTATGAAGCTTTCATAGGAATGCTCTACTTTCAAATAGCAGGGGAAACCTATATGTCAAGTATGTTAACATGAATATTAATTGTTATTCAAATCTTCTATATTTTTGTTGATTTTTTTTCCTTTGCTTGTTCTATCAGATACTAAGAGGTGTGTTAGAATCTTCCACTATGATTGTGGTTTTATCTGTTTCTCCTTTTACTTCTGTGAATTTTTAATTTATATCTTCGGAGGCTAAAATATTAGGTATATGCTCATTTAGAATTGTTATGGTCTCCTGGTAGATTGACTTTTTATCATAATGAAATGTCCCTGTTTATCTCTCACATACTTCCTACTTTAAAGTTTACCTTTTTTTTTTTTTTTTGGTGAACAAGACTGGCCCTGAGCTAACATCTGTTGCCAATCTCCTCTTTTTGCTTGAGGAAGATTGTCCCTGAGCTAACATCTGTGCCAGTCTTCCTCTATTTTGTATGTGGGATGCCACCACAGCAAGACTTTTATGAGCAGCGTGTAGATGGGAACCTGTGAACCCTGGGCCACCAAAGCAGAGTGCGCACACTTAACCACTACGCCACCAGACTGGCCTCTAAAGTTTACTTTTAAAATCTGATTTTAGTATAGCCACACAATGTTTCCTTTGATTAGTATTTGTGTGGTATATTATTTTCCATCCTTTTGCTTTTTATTCCTTATGTATCCTTATTCTTAATGTGTATCTTTTATAAGTAGCATATGGTTACTTATTTTATTTTTATCCAATCTGATCATCTTTGCCTTTATCTAATTAGAATAATTAGTCTATTTACATTTAACTTATTACTGATATATTTGAGTTTAAATATATTATTTTCTGTTTATTTTTTATTTGTTATACCTATTCTCTATTCTCTGCTTTCTTCTTATTTTTATATTAATTTTATTTTCTATTTCCTCTTTTATGAATTTATTACACATTCTTGTACCATTTTTTTAATGATTACTGATTTTTTGAACATTTTTTTTTTCAATATTTGCTCTGGCTTTTCAAATTGTTTTCAATGGAAGCTTGTTTTGAAACAAGCTACACTTCCTTGCTAAAGCAGGATCAAACTTAATTTGAATGTACATTTTAAAGTGGAAAAAAAAAAAACCTCTAATTTAAAACAACTCCCAGACTTGTCTCTGTTATATACCAAACACTTAATATACAGAGATAACCAGCATGTTAATATTTGCTAGCAGGCTAATTAAAAAAAAAAAAAAACAGAACTTGAAATAAAGCTTCCACTGCCATTTTTGTGTGTATTTATACTTTTTATATTGTGTTTTGATAACAGTTACAAATTTTGTATCTCTTCCCTGGGCCTTTATCTTCACTTGTCCAGTCACTAAATATTTAACAAGTAGGTTTAGTACCAGTGCCCAGAAATAGCACTAATTAATTGCCTGGCAAGGCTCAGGCACATGCGAAGTGTATGCTCTGCTCTGTGTAATTGTGGGACAATAACACAGCCACCACTTACGTTTGATAATATTATGTATAAAGTTTTTGTCATTTGAAGAAGTTTTAAGAGTTTCTTATACACCTTATATATATGATAACTAATACAAGTTATTGTTAGATATGTTAGTACGTTAACTTTGAAAGAAAACTGTCTCACTCCCTCTCTTTCAAGTGTAATGTAGTTTAGTTGAAGAGAATTTGGACATTGTAACACCAGTTTTTAAAAAACTTTTATTCTTTGCAGTTCTTACATGGATAAATGAAGCAGAATTCTTACTGAGTAGCCAAAATAAAATGCAGACATTATTTGGATGCTAAAGCTGAATAAAACTCATTTGTAACTCCACTTTCAGATATTTTTGTTCATTAATACAGCCTTATTGTTCTCATTGGCTGACTTGATAATAAATAAATATTATAAATTTGAACCTCTAAAGTTTATGCTGATCAAATGCTGCTTTTCTATTTTATATATTGACTAGGTTTATATAAGATTTAATTGGAAAAATTCTTTTACTAAATAAAATTAGAAACTCATTAATATAAGCAGATGAACACCTATATCTAGGTAAGTAAGGCTTGCCTAACCTGTACAAATTGTATCCACACTTGGTTTCTATCCAGCCTAAGTCTTGCTACTTATCAAAATTGATGTCATTGAAGATTGCTTGTAGGCTGTGGCTGGAGATGGGGCCATCAGCCTTTAATAACATATAATTAGAACACATTGTCCCTTATTAATCTGACACTTGTTTGCAGAACTGAATTATGTTGGATTCTTAGGTAATGAAGAATTCAACGTCTCATACCTTAAGTTTTCCTTTGCTTTTTTTATTTGGCTATAGGAGATTCAGAAACATAAGAGTGAAATAAAGTAAAAAGAAACTTTATAAATATATATGTTAATTCTATGTTGCTCAGTTGTATTTTATTTGAGGTGTTTTAGAGTAGTAGTTATTTTTTTGTTTGTTTTCCAATTTTTATAGACTGTGTTTGAGTTTCATATCTACTTGAATTCTCATTAAATTTGTGGTTAATCAAACTCCCAAGATGTCATTTACTTGAAGTTAAGTATGAGTTGAATATAGTTGATGACTTTGGATTCTCTTCTGGTGTAAGTATTAAGTTTAGCCAGTGTCTTCTCTCACTCTTCTCATTTAATACTGTGTATAAAAGCTAAATCTAATATTGTTTCTAACACTTTATAAATGTCATAAGACCTCTATAAATATACTGTTTGTGATAGTTTTAGAGATTGGGCTATAGTGACATTTATTAGTAAACTAAAAATCAATCCATAAGAAAAGTTGAGATAATACTTTATTTAGTCAGTCAATATATTTTGAATGGAGAGGAATTCCACTTTTTAAGTGAGAATTTTTCATTTTCTAAGTAGTTTTATTTAAGAAAATCAGTTTTGGACTTTTGGTTACACATGGAGGTGGGAATATATATGTTTATTTCTTCTCCCTTTCTAAATCCACTAAATAATAGTGAAAGTAATAAAGGCATAAATGAAGAAAATGGAAGAGGCAGCGTAACATCAGTCTAGAGAAGTGAGATTTTAGAAATCTTTAGAGATTTTAGAAATAGTGTGTGGCATGACATGAATAACAAGTGTATAGATTATAGTAAAGTTTAGTTGGCTACGCTTACCACTGCCAACTTGTGATAAAGATGGGCACTATGAGTTAGAGGAAGAGGAGATTTCCTTCTTTGAGATGCTCAGGGAAGACCTCAAGTAGGAAGTAGGATTTGAGCTGAGTCTAAGATGGGAAAGATTTGAAGAGAAAAATTTGGGTAGACACATGAGGGATATATCAGTCTAGATCCAATCAAGAGACAGAAACCATATAGTAATTTACATGATTAACATAAAGAATTATTAAGCTATGATAGAAGAGAAACTGTAAAGCTACTATATAAAGAGAACTCTAAAAGGTACCCTAGGGCTGAGGGAAAGTGCCTAAGGAAGGACAAACTGGGAATGAGGGTTTAGGTCTCCTTGAGGAAGGTGTGGTTGCAGCCTATTGTATGGTAGAGTAATTTGCTAGGTTGCCTGGCTTAAAACTGGCTCACAGTCACTGTGTCAGCAGGTGAACCAAGACTGGTGGGCGGGTGTGCAGATTCAGTTAGGGTGCTGCAGGTGTGTGAGGCCTGGAGCGTTGTGTCTGTGTTGGGAGGGCTGCAGTAACACCCCTTGGGGCACAGGTGAATTGAGGCTGGTGGGTGGGTACAGAGAAAATTGGGGCACTGCTTTGGGTACTACTGGAATGGCAAGTTGGAGAGGCCTCCCCCTGTAGCAACCTAGAGCTATGTTGGGTGGGGCAGTTCCAGATTGCTGTTTGGGACAAAGGTCAAGTGGCTGGCTCTTTAAAAGGCCAACTTGGCAGTGCCTCCAGCGTCTGGCTGGAGGTATGTTTGGTAATCCTTGATTACCTGTTTGTTTTTAAGAGGAGGACAAAAAAACTGTGTGTGGGCTGAGGAGACAATGCAGGGAACAGCTGCCTGGACTGGGACACAGCCTGTTTTAGGACTCTTGCTACTTTGTAGCTGCTGCCTGAGTAGGAAGCTGGAGAAAGAGAAATCATGTAGCAGCAGGCCAAATGCTTAGAGAAAGCTGTTCCCTACAGGCACTAGCACTAGAGCAGAGTTTTCCAACTTGGACACTATTGACCTTTTGAGCTAAACAATTCTTTGTTGTAGGGGGCTGTCCTGTGCAAGAAGGATGTTTAGTAGCATCCCTGGCCTCCTCTACTCACTAGATGCCAGTAGTATCCCCCAGTTGTGACAATGAAAATTATCTCCAGTTATTGATAGCCATATGTCTTCTGGAAGCAAATTGTCTCAGTTGGAAATCACTGCAGTAGAGAAAATTCACAGCCTGAGCAGCAGAGGGAGGAAAAAAAAAATTAAGTGCTCCCGAAACCTGCGGAGAGAGTATATTGAAACCAGGAAAGAAAACCCCTTCCTCCCTCGCTGTCTCTCCAGCACACTCCTCTGACAAAGCTTAACATCTTGTCAGCTGGCAGAGGAAAAATTTTTTAAAGGCCCAGATCCATTTTTTCAGAGGAAGCAGTGAAGGATGAATCTGGAGCCAAAGCAGTCAATTGATAACTTGCACAAGGTGAGAGAGCGTTCCGGAAGTAGTCGAGGAATAAAACATTAGCAAAGTTACAGGAGCAGAAAAACGTGAGGGCACTGAGGAAATGCAAGGACAATACAGACTTGAGTGCAGGTCAGTGTAAAGTGGTAGGAGGAGAGAAAACTCTAAGGGTTTTACATTTTCGTGACTCTTCATGTTGTTTTTCTCCCCTTATTTAGAAATGGACTCAGAAATCAAGGAAGAAATTCCTGTCTGTGAGGAATTCATTTTATGTTGTGGAGCTGAAACCCAGGTTCTAAAATGTGGGCCCTGGACTGACCTCTTCAATGATCAAAGTGCCAACAAGCCTAAGCTGCTCATTTTCATTATTACTGGTAAGTTTAAAAGTGTGGATGAGGAGACTTCATACAGATACTTGTAACTATTTCTGATTTTTAAAAGTACTGTTATGGGTTCATCGTAGAGAATTTGGTAAATAGAGAAAACATTATGGAAGGAAATAAGATCACTCAAACTATTGATGACAACCACGGTTAATACTTTGGTGGCTAGACTTTGTGTTTTTCTTTATGCATTTATATTGTATATATTATATTGTCTATTATATATATATATATTTAATCACAATTGGAAGTGTACCATACATATAGTTTTGGAATCTGCTTTTTAAAATTTCTTAACAATATTTAGAATAATTAGAACTTTATCAAACATTTTCAACAGTTTTCTAAATAACTTTTTCTGCCTCATTTCAAGATGATTATAAGTTGACAGTAGAACGTTTGCTTATTCTGGGATTTGGCAACGGGGTCGCTTATGACTTCTCCTGGATGACTGTCAATAGAATGTTTGGAGTAAATGCTTGATTGGAGATATTTGAAGCACTTTTTAAATGTGAGTTTGAACATAAATATATTATCAGCCTTAAAGATTAAAAATGAAACTGTAATTATGTATCATATTATATATAACTAAGCCTACAGGGTATTATGATTGTCGTTCTTTTCTTATATTTTTTTTTGTTTGTTTTCCCTGGGTTAATGATTATCTCTTTTATTTGCCTAGTTTCCTATGTTTTAATCACTAATTTATCCTAAAACTATTCTCTAGAAGTGAAAAAAAATCCTCTCAATACATTTGAGTGATCAATCAGTTTCTTTTTTTTTTGGAGACGTTCCTCCGAGAACTCTCTCTTCTTTGGCTCTAGTGTGGATGGTTGTTCTCCAGGCTTGCTGCACAGGCCGTCCTGGGGATTCCTTTCACTTCTTTCTTGTGTTAGGTTCCTTGTTTCCTGGATCCCATATTTTCTTCTTTCTTGGTTTATCCCCTTGTTTTTGGTGGAGCACATTTTCTGGTAGCTTCCTAAGAAGAGGTGCATAGGAAGAAATCTTTTAAAAATCTAGCAGGTGAGAAAATGTCTTAGACTTCTAGATTGAGGATAATTTTCCCTTAGAGTTTGGAGGGCATTTTCGTTGTTTTCCAGGGGTCCCAGCTGCTTTCAAGAAGTCTTGATAGCATTCTGATTTTTGATCTTTTATATGTGAAGCTCCTTGCGCCCCCCCGACAAAAAACTTTTCAGATCTTTTCTTTGTTCTAAGATTCTGAAATTTTACAGGGAAGTACCGTGGTATGGTGTTTTCCATACATTGTATTTGGGTTTTAATGGACTCTTTTAAACCAGAAACTTGAATTCAATTCTAAGAGCTCTGTTTTCTCTTTTCATTTTTTATAGTCTCCTGTTTCATGGGTGCAATATCGTTTTCTTTGGCTTCTTGCATTGTTAGAGTTTTTACTGTGTTCCTTTTTCTGTTTGGTTGTGTTAGTGTTTGTTTTTCCTCATATGTTTGGTAATCCTTGACTACCCATTCATTTTTAAAAGGAAGACACAAAAAACTGATTGGAATCTTTGTATTCAGAGGTGGGGCTTGTCCACAGGTGTGTCTAGGGTGACCAGCCATCCTGGTCTGAGGGGTTTTCCAGGACATGTGAGTTTTGGTACTAAAACCACAATAGTCCTGGGCAAAAGAAGATGGTTGGTCACCCTAGGTAATCCTCACCTTAGGGTGATTGGGGATGGACCCAGCATTTCATTAGAGAGTTTCCAACTTTGAATATCTATGTCTATTTCTTGGATTGTTCAGTTTTCTCAGGAAGTCTTCCAGGATCCTGTTGAGGAGTGGAAGCCTGTCTGCTAATGTTCAGAGCTGAACAAGGGAAAGGAGGTTGGGAGTTTAGTAACACTTAACCTAACCTCTTCTCAGTATGGTACTTCTGTTCTCAGCTGGGCTTCGATTCCTGATCCAAAATCTTTTTGGTTTAACCTTTTCTGAAAATAAACTTCCAGTATTCTGCTACAATGTAACAGTTTTTTTGGAAAGCAATCTGTCAACATATATTAAAATTAAAAATGTGTATGTTCTGCCAGTAGTGAGGGAGTGTGAAATTATAGGCGTGACAAGTGCTATTTGATGGGCCAGAGATTTGGAGGCCATGGCAGAGTATAGAATTGAGAAAATAAGTAGAAACATTATCTTGGACTGGAGAAGGGGTATTCTTCTGAGGCTTTAAGGAAGGAGGTGAAGTTGGTTACTGAAATGGTGAAGTGTGAAGGTATGTCAGAGGGCAGTAAAGTAGTTCCTACCTCCTGACCTCTATTTTCTCTGTTGATTAAGAGTTGAGGTTATCTGTTGAGGGTAAGGATGGTGAAGGGTGGATAGGGACCTTGAGGAAAGTGGTCAGCATTCAGAGTAGCAGATATATAGAATGAAAGGATTACCAACCAAAAACAAGTAAATCGATTTTTATGCAGCACTGTGATTGAATTGCAGGTGCATTGGGGGTGAGGTCTAAAAGGGCAGAATATTGAGTTGGAGATGAGGTATAAGAGTTAGGATGCTTTGAATGTTAACCATTTTTAGGTAATGAAAAGATCTAGGCCTGTGGCCTGTGGTTCTTAAAGTTGGTGTTGGGACCAGCAGTATCATCTGAGAACTTGTTAGAAGTGCAGGTTCTTGGGCTCTATCCCAGACCTTCTGAACTAGAAATTCTAGGGGTGGGGCAATCTGTGTTTTACAAGCCCTTGAGGGGATTGCAATATGTACACTACTGGTATAGGGTGTGGCCATAGGAATTATTTGCTTAAATTTAATGTAGGTGAAGTTCTTTGAATTTGAACAAGGTAATGAATTATGGGACAAAGGTGTTGGCTCAATCAATCCACTTGGATTTTGAAATCACCTAAGTCGTGGAATGGCAAGTGAAACTATCATTTAAGGATCAAGGTTTTCCGGGAATGTGTAGAATAACTAAAAAGTTGACAGATGGAAGTAGATGGCTTAAGTCTTAGAGGAGGGGAGGTTGTTATAGAAAGATGAACTAGTCAGTGGAGCAGACAGCTCATTCTGCTTCCCTACCCGGAGGTGTCCATTCACTCACTCCTTTATACTAGATGCTGGGAACACTGCGTTACAAAGTCTTTGCTCTCACTGAGGTGTCTGAGGTGTTAGAGAATAGTAAGATCTCTACTGCAGAGGCTTCAAAGGAAGAAAGTCCACCACAAGGGAGAACCAGGTTTAAGATATGGTGAGGAGATGGAGGGAGCATTCAGTGAAGACACTGCGGAGAAAGGGGACATTAAAACATTTGTTGTTTTATAGTCTCCTTGTTGATAGTGCTTTGACATTTTAGGTTACATTAGTTTCCTAGTGTTCCCTTATGTTTGCCGTCTATTTGCATCGCTGCCCTGGGCCCTTTTCCTCAGAGTTCATGCACGAGCTGTAGGCTGGTGCCACACATTAGTTTGTGGGATTCACAATTGTGTTTTATTTTGGGGCCTAGTCTATTTATACAGTGGGGAAAATTAGGATGACAATATTTCAAGGACTGTTAAGCCACTGTAGACATCATGTTTAGTCCATCTCTGATAGACTGACATAACATTTCATTTTAAATCACTTTGCTTTTGCAGCTAGCAAAATTAATTCATCACTTTTAAGTTAGTAATGATAATGAGGAGTGATTTATTAGAATCTACGGATTGAGGAACTTTTAATTCAGTTTCATCTTTTCCAGTGAACCTTCATTGTAGAATTTCTAAGTAACAGTATCCTTGGAATTTCTTTAAGTAGTGAAATGAGCAAAAGGAGGCAGTTTGAGAACTCACTATAGAACATATTGAATTGTTATAATTCGTAAGTGGTCATGTGAGAATAATAGAATTGTCTGCTGTGTCTTGTGTTGTGAGTACAGTGATTGGAGATGGAGCAGACAAGGCTCCGTAGACAAGCCCAAAGTTCTGTCCAGGTGACAATCTTCTATATAGATGCTGTGCCACAATAAGTTGGTATATGGAAGTTTTTGTCCCCTACAAGATTAACTGGAAGGCATAAGTCTACAATTGCGATGTTGAATAGTTAGAGTTTATTGGCAGTTGAGATCTAGAGATGACCACCACAGCTTCTGTTATACATTGCTCAGGCATCTGACTGTGTGTATGTTCACGTGTATGTTTATAACACATTTTAATATTCTTTGATAAAATGTTTTACTTGCCTTTCTGTACTGGAATGTTTTTGAACATCCCTACACCTGTAGATATATAAATATATGTGATTTTAGTTGCATAAACAAGACGCTTTTAATTTTCTTTGTGGTTTCCTATCCAGGAAGTTTAGTTTATGGTTCATAAAGTGTAACATAAGCCATGACATTTAAGTGGTGAAGTATGCAATGACATTTAAACATTTTGCATTTCATTTTCGACTTTTATTTCTATTGTAAGTTGGATCTTCATGTTACTGGCCATTGTGGACTCTTCTGGTTTTGTATTTTTTTGGTGGGCAGGATTGTCCCTGAGCTAACACCTGTGCCAGTCTTCCTCTATTTTGTATGTGGGATGCCACCACAGCATGGCTTGATGTGTAGGTATGTAGGTCTGCACCTGGGGTCTGAACCCACAAACCCCAGGCTACCGAAGCCGAGCGCGCAAACTTAGCCATCACGCCACCAGGCTGGCCCCGCCTCTTCTGTTTTTTAAAGGCAAGCTCCTTTATTGCTTGAGGGCCTTTGAAGCTGTTCTTCTTCTGTGCTACTATTCTATTCCCTCAAATCTTTACAAAGTTGATTTCTTCTCATCTTTTGGCTCTTAGCTAAATGCCACCTCCTCTGACATTTTTCTCAGGCCACCCTAATCTCTTCCTTTCTCTGTCACATGATCCTCTTTATTTCCTTCGTATAAGTTATCACACTCTTGAATTATTTACTTAGTTAGTTATGTGTATATATTCTCCCACTAGAATATAAATTACAAAAAGGCCCTTATCTATCTTGTCCCTAACACGGTGACTTCCATATAGTAAGTGATCAATAAGGACTTGATAACTAAAAGAATATACAAAAGAAGCTATAGTCCTGAATAGAATGAATGAACATGGAGTAGGTGGCATTATCATTTACTTGATGATGACAGAATAATGAATCAGAAAACTTAAGGGGATTTGCTTAAGTCATTAAGGGAAAGAACTCAGACTTAAACCCAGAGGTAGGGAGAAAATTTGTTTTATAGCAGTTTTATTATCTAGTATTCATTGGTCTTTTATATTCTGTCATTGTAACTGTTACATCTAAATCATGTAGTTGTCATCTTTGGGTTCTCCTTAATGTTAAACGATCTTTTAATTATAATAATAATTACAGTAATAATTGCTAACATTTAGTCAGCCTCTGCTATGGGCCAGGTATTGTGCAAGTGACTTTCCGTTCATTATCCCTAATGATAATGCCAACTACTTTGTAGAGCTGTTGTAAGATGAACTAAAACAAGGTGTGCAGAAGATTCTAGACCAGGTAATTTATGTTCTTTTTTAAATTCAGTGTTTTTGTTTTGTATATTCTTTCAGTCATCAAATATTTATTGAGCACATATCATCTGTGTGACTTTGGGCAAGTTATTTAACCTCTCTGTACCTCAGTTTCCTTATCCATAAGATGGAAATGATAATAGTATTACCTCATGTGAGGACTAAATGAGTTAATATACGTAAAGCAGTTAAATACACCCTGGCATGTAATAAGTTATAGCACTTAAAAATGTTGACTATTATTATTTTCTAGCCATATGAAGAAAGCTATAGAACTTTGCTGAGAGACATAAAACATTTGAATATGAGTCATAACACATTTCTAGAAGGTTATACGCAGTAATGTAAAAAATATCAAATCTTTCTAAATTAAGGTATAAATGAGATGAAATTTCAATCAGAATTCCAAAGAGATTTTTAAAAATTGAAACTGGTGAAAATAATTCTAAAGGTTATGAGACCAGCCTAGAAATTCTAGGAAAAAAAAATAAAGAGAAGGGATCTTCCCTACCAGGTACTGAAACATTAAAAAAAACAGTGTAGTAATTAAAGCAGTATGGTGCTGGCAGAGGAGAAAAGGAAAAAATAAGTGGAATTATTTGGAATCAGAATTAGCAAGCTAATGTAAGAATTCAGTATTGGATCAGACCCATTTTAAATCAATGCAGAAAGAATGGATTATATAATAAATGGTCTTGGAACACTTGGCTAATCACTTTGAAAGAGATTGGACTACTATTTTGTACTTTATACTCAAAAATATTCCAAATTTATTGAAGATTTAAATATAAAATATGAAACAGTGTCATCCACAGCCACCACAGATGTTATAGCCACTGTGCAGATACACCCCTCCTCCCTTCTTCCTCCTCTAGCTGCACACTGGCCAGTCAGCTGACCAAAGAGGATATGGCTACATTCGAGCAAGTTTTCACCCTATTTAACAAAGATGACACTAGTACCATCACAGGAAGGAATTTGGAACTTGGGTTGCTAGATCAGAAGGCAACAGAAGCACAATAACAATATAGATGATAAGGTCATCATATGTTACCGTCTTGAGATCAATGACAAGTTTGAATAGCTAACATTTGTACAGCCCTTCTGTATCGAGCAGTTTAAGTACTTTATATACATTAATTCACCTCGTTCTCACGTGAGGTGGTATGATTATTATTCCCATCTTATGGACAAGGCAACCAAGGCCCAGAAAGGTTAAATAACTTGCCAGAGGTCACACACTTGGTAAGTGGCAAAGTCAGGATTCCAACCCAAGTAGTCTGGCTCCAGGTGGTCTGGCTCTAGGCCATTAACCACTTTGCTACATTGCCTGTCTAGGAAACTGAAAGATCTGATAATGAAGAAGAAATCAGTGAAATTTGACAAGGATAGCAGAGGTTACATCCATGTGGCAAAACCATGGCATGTAATTGCAAAGAGGAGAAAACTTAGTAGCATGAAGAAATAGATAAATTGATTGGAGAAATAGATGTTGATGAAAATGGACTAGTATCTATGAAGACATTATACAGATGATGATTGCAAGATAAAAACCCTGTTTCACTGTCCTTTCCCCCTAAAGATGTATCAGATTGACTCTTTTTTTAAAAGATAATTTATTCATTCTGTTTCTCTATAGCAAACCCATGTCAAAAATACCTTCTATATACACACAAGAAAAATCTACATGTATTAGTTGGTGGTCTTTTCCCCAAAAGATCAAACTATACATCTGTTTACAATATAAGTACTTGTGATAAATGACAAGGAAACACTTAGTAGACTCCTTAAACTTCTGTTTGTGACTGATTCTTACACTGATTTGTTTTTATGCAGCTTGGTAACTGAGCATAGTCAAATCTTGAAGGGCCTTACCGGCAGTATTAATGATTTTAGACTATCCAGGTGACAATGGGAAGCCCCTGCAAAGTGTTTAAGTAGACACTGCTATGATTTGATTTGAGGTTTGAAGATCTCTCTCTGGGTACTCTGGAGAATGGATTCCAAGGGGACAAGAGTAGATAGAAGACCCGTGAGGAGGCTGTTGCAGGAAACCCAGTTGGAAGTGATGATAATAACGGCGAGAAGTAGACAGTTGAAATGTATTTTGGAAGCAAACTTTACAGAACTTACTGGTGAACTAGATGTAAAGAACAGGAAGAAGCCAAGAATGCCTCCTGGTGTTAGGACTTGAGTATTTGGTGGTTCCATTTATTAAGTTGAGGAACAGGGAGGAAGAATTTATTTGAAACAATTAGAGAACAAAGCATGAACAGAAATTTTCTAAGTGATCATTCCCAGACTTAAAATATAAACGATATTAAAATTGAGGTATATATGTAAACGCAGAGGAAAGTTGAAGAGAAATAGATCTTCTTTTCCAATCTGCACATTATCTTGTATGAGTTTATTTCTTTGGTTAATTTAAGGTCTGCTTTTCTTTTCTTAGGTAACCCAGGTTTTTCTGCCTTTTATGGGCCATTTGCAAAGGCTTTGTACTCTTCAATGAACAGACGCTTTCCAGTGTGGGTTATCTCTCATGCTGGGCATGCCGTGGCCCCCAAAGACAAGAAGATTCTTACAAACTCAGATGGTATGTCTTCATTAACATCTGGTTTCCTTTACAGTGAGTGGGTGTTCATGTTTCTAAAAAAGCCTGCTAAGGTTAAGAGTTACACCAGTGGAAACCTCTGCTTGTGGCATTGGGCCCGTGATGCCACATTTGGCTAATTTTAGGATTTTTAAAGTCATTTTCTGTAAAAATTTGGGCAGCTCAAACAATTTATCTAGGACTTGCCTTCTCTATTTCCAACTAGTGATCAACCATATATTTATTGATCATGCATTACATTTCCAGGGTTGTACTAAGAGGAATGGTAGAGAAAAAGTATTATAAGCCATGGTCCTTAGCCGTGGTCCTTACTGTAAAGAAGCTCTCACTCTCACATTTAGAGAATGATTAAGTGATAAACTCTGGCCTGAAGATCATGTGTTTAAGTAAACAAAGGAGAGAACACAGTATGGGTTTGATAAGACTTTGTGGAGTAGATGGGTTTTGACAGTTGAGTAGAATTTGGATTTGAGGAGTGAAGGTGAGTGCAGTGGTCTGACAGGCAGAAGGAGAAGCGCAACAGGGAGAGAGATTGCCTAGGTGTGCTACTGCTAGGCAGGGCCAGATTGGGAAGAACCTTGAAAGCTGGGGAGAGAGCTAGGGCTCCATGTGGTAGATTGCTGGAAGCCTTTAAATGGAGGAAGTAGTACCATAGAGATGCAAATTACCTGCTTTTAACTTATGAGAATTCCAGCATGTTCACTATTCTAGAAAATGAAAAATGAGAGGGAAAAAGAAAGATAAAACTTAACTTCTCTGTAGGCATTCCATTCAAGGGCCATTTGTCCTGAGGGTAGCCCTTAGTTAATTTGAGGTGGGAGAAAGGTGGCAATGGCATCACTGCCTAGTGTTCTGGTATGCCTCTCCTATAGTATGAGCATCTTCTTGTTCTTACTGAGTGTCTAATCAAAGGGGAAACCATGTGTTGGGAGGGAGGGAGAAAGGGGCAGATGATATGGGAACTTTCTGTCCTAATCTGCTGAACTTTTCTATAAATCTAAAATCATTCTAAAAAATAAAATCTGTTAATAAAAAAACAAATATTACAATTTAAAAATAACAATATTTACATTTTACTCTTTATCAGTGTATTAGTCAGCTTGTACTGCCATAACAAAACCATAGAATAGGTAGCTTAAATAACAGGAATTTATTTTCTCACAGTCTGAAGGCTATAAGTTCACGAATAGAGTTTCAGCATGGTCAGGTTCTGGTGAGAGCCCTCTTCCTGGCTTGCAGATGGCTGCCCTCTCTTTGTGTTCTCACATGACAGAGAGAGAGAGAGAGAGTCAGCAAGCTCTCTGGTCTCTTCTTATAAGGGCACTAATCCCATCATGAGGCTCCCACTCTCATGAACTCCTCTAACCCTAATTACTTCCCAAAGGCCCCATCTCCAAATACTATCACATTAGGGGTTAGGGCTTCAATATAAGAATTTTATGGGACACAGACATTCAGTCCAGAACAATCTTAAATGGGAATGTTATGTATTGACATCCCAAATCTGATCACAAGTGTAGGTCAGCGTATACATGTGACATTGCACCTGAGCAATAGTAAAACATACAAGCTACCTCTTAAAACATTTTTACGAAATATTTGTACAAGTTTTACTAGCTGCCTTTGGTCTATCCTCAGAAGTATTACCTGACAGTTTTTGGAAGCTAGTTTTTTGAAGCCTTGATCCTATTGAATAGTGAAGGAAAAGTTTCTGTTCCAAGTGGAATTTCTTTCCACGATCATGAACATCTGCAGGTGTGCTAAATTTGTAAGAATTCTTTTATTTGAAGAAGGGGGTGACAATTAAGAGATAATTCCTATTTTTATTCATATTCTGTTTTGGCTGTTAACTGGAACATATGGTCAAGACAGTATAGTTACTACAGAATTTAGGAAATAAAATCACCCTCTTACAACAGAGTAGCTACTCTTTGGTTCTGTGGTTAGTATGGAATTTGGTGCTCTTTTCTGTTCCCTCCTGAAGCCATAGCTCAAACTCTTTGTGTGTCGTCTCAACTATGAACATCTCAACTCCCTGGCTCTTGACCTCTCCTCCTAATTCTCACATATGGTAGTATAGATCAGCTTCCTGAAATGTTCATTCTGGTTCTAGAGTCCTGTGTTAATTTTAAATTAACTTTGACATCAGATGCCAACTCTTGAGAATGGAATTTAAGCCTCCTTTTTTCCTAATTCTATTTACTCAATTTAATCATTTTTGAGTACATGTTGTGAACTTGTCTCCTTGCCAGCACTTAGGGAAAAAATACGCCTGTGCTTAAAACAAATCTGTTGCACTCACCTTGTTTATTCTTAGGTAATGTCACCACCAGACTTTCCATGTCTTTCTTTTTAAGGCGTCACATGTAAGATTACCCTTGTCTGGGCAAACTCGACTCCTCTCTTCCAAAACAGTTTCCACTCTCAGTGCTCAGGCCCTTGGTAAGCAAGACCACCCAGGCTTTCTTTTGGCAGTTTAATTGCTCAGATTTCTTCTACTATCACCTCCACCTACTTTATCTTTGTTACTTCCTAATTGTCTTCTATTTATAATTATAGATCTACAGATTCAGTGCAATCCTTATTATAATTATATTTAGAATTATAGTTCTACAGATTCACTGTAATCTCAGTATAAATTCCTACCAAAATTCCAATGGCATTTTTCACAGAAGTAGAAAAAAAAATCCTCAAATTCATATGGAACCACAAAAGACACCAAATAGCCAAAATAATCTTGAGAAAGGAGAACAAAGCTGATGGCATCATACTTCCTGATTTCAAACTATATTACAAAGCTGGTAATCAAAACAGTATAGTACTGGCATAAAAGCAGACCAATGGAGCAAAATAGAGAGTCCAGAAATGAACCCACACACAGGGTCAACTAATAAAGGTGCCAAGAATACAATGTGGAGAAAGGATTTTATCTTCAATAAATGGTTTTGAGAAAACTGGTTATCCACATGCAAAAGAATGAAATTGGACCTCTATCTGACATGATACACAAAAATTTAACTCAAAGCAGATTAAATACTTAAATTTAAGACCTGAAGCCATAAAACTCCTAGAAGAAAACGTAGGGGAAAAGCTCCTTGACTTTGGTCTGGGCAATGATTTTTTGGATATGACACCAAAAGCACAAGTAACAAAAGCAAAAATAAACAAGTGGGACTGTATCAAACTAAAAAGCTTCTTTACAGCAAAGGAAACAATCAATAATATGAAATGGCAATCTATGGAATGGGAAAAAATATTTGCAGATAATATATCTGTTTAAGGAGGTAATTTCCAAAATACATAAGGAACTCATGCAGCTCAACAGCAAGGAAACTAATGGCCTGATTAAAAAATGGGCAAATTTTTCCAAAGAAGATATGCAGATGACTAACAGCTATATGAAAAGGTGCTCAACATAACTAATCAATGCAAATCAAAACCACAGTGAGATTCACCTCACACCTGTTAGGATGGCTATTATCAAAAAGACAAAAGATAACAAGTGTTGGCAAGGGTGTGGAGAAAAGGGAACCCTTGTGCAGTGTTGGTGGGACTGTAAATCGGTACAGCCACTATGGAAAACAGTATGGAAGTTCCTCAACAAATTAAAAATAGAACTGCCTTATGATCCAGCAATCCCACTTCTGGTTATATATCCAAAGGAAATGAAATCAGTCTCTCGAAGAGATATCTGCACTACCATATTCATTGCAGCATTATTTACAACATATGGATAATTCCAAGCTGTGAAAACAACTTAAGTGTCCATCAGTGGATCAATGGGTAGAGAAAATGTGAAATATATATACACACATATATATATATACACAAAGGAATATTATTCAGCCGTAAGAAAGAAGGAAATCCTGCCATTTGAAACAGTGTGGATGAACCTGGAGGATATTATGCTAAGTGAAATATCAGACACAGAAAGATAAATACTGCATGATTCCACTTATATATGGAATCTAAAAAAGTCAAACTCATAGAATAGAAACTCCAGAGAATAGAACTGTGGTTGCCAGGAGCTAGGGGTGGGGAAAATGGAGAGATGTTGGTCAAAGGGTACAAACTTTCAGTTATAAGATGAATAAGTTAGGGGAATCTAATATATAGCATGGTGATTATAGTTAATACTGTATTGTGTAATTGAAATTTGCTAAGAGAGTAAATCTTAAGTGTTCTCACCATAACAACAACAACAAAAAGTAATCGTTCCCTTGGTCCTGAGCCTGTCGATGGTAGTGCCCTCAGTTAGGAATGCGTGCGGCACTCGCCTGAGCACACGTCGCTGGTAGCGAGCTCCACAGACATTTCCCCCTCCAGGGCCCCTATGTATGGCTGGCCGGCTCCTGTGGTTCTTGTTATGATTGCAGGACGCACTTCAGGAAGAAATCCTCAGAGAACTTTGAGGAACGAGGTTTATTACTCACAGTTCCTGGAGGGTCACGGCACTCTCGAGGGTGACATTTTCAGAAGCACTGCCTCACCAGTAAACACTGGTGAGGAAAACCAGTAGAAAATATCCGTCGTGTGTCTGAATTTTGGGGAAATATCTTTAATTCTTGTTTTAAATTGACATCTTATTATTTGTAACTTTATTTTGAGTATGCTTATTGCTTAGGCTGCTTGTGTACTATTGAGTTAATAACTTAGTAATTAGAGCCAAGGTTCTTTGCTACCTAATGAGAAGAGTGCCATCTAGAGGCATTAGCCCACAGGGCCACCACAGGGCCAAAGGAAGCTGTGGTTTCTAGAGGGGGTGAAAGGGCAACTCATCATCATCAAGGATTTATTGACAGCCTACCGGGTTATTATGTGTGGAGCTGCAGAGGTAGACAAAATAGAAGTGCCGCCTTTTAGGTTAGTGACTGTCCGTCTGTGTTCTGAGTAACCCAAATGTTCTGTGAAGGGCAAGCGGGCCTCTGGGCCTCACTAGCACCCCCATTCAACCCTGAACAGTCCTGCTTTCACCTCTCTTA